GGCGGTGAAGGGCTTTCACCATCTCTCTTCTTCCTTCCCAACCAGCCCTCACGTTTCCACCACACGCGACAAGCAAGCGTTCAGTGGCTTTTCAAGAGCGGTGGCGGCGGCGGCTGCACGCACAGCAAAATCAGGGGCTGCACATGGCACCGCGGTGGGATGGTGCCAGGCCAGGCATGGCGGGTTCGAAATATTTTAGTTTAAAATCTCCCTTGGAAATACGCGGTAGTTACATGAGGACTCCCTGGGCTGGAGCGCGGAACGTGTTCATGGAGCAGAGTGCCTTGGGTGCCAGACGGACGTGGACACCCTGGAGCGGGTCCAGCAAAGACGACTGGGACATCGGGGCATCTGACAGATGGGGAGAGGCTGGGAGAGCTGGGACTGTTCAGCCTGGAGAAGAGGAGGCTGGGGGGGATCCTCTCCTCACCTGATGGAGACCAAGTGGTGCTCAGTGCCAGGACAAGAGGGGATGGGCACAAATGCAAACATATGAAATTCCATTTAAACCTCAGGAAAATCTTTCGCTGTGAGGGTGGCACAGGCTGCCCAGAGAGCTGGTGGAGTCTCCATCCCTGGAGGTGTCCAAACCCCAACTGGACGTGGTCCTGGGCCACCAGCTCTGGGGGACTCCACCTGAGCAGGGCTTGGACTAGATGATCTCCAGAGATGATCTCCAGTCCCTGCCAGCCTTGATGCTCCTGTGACTCTGTGATTCATCACTTCCACAAAAAAAAGGAAATCAGGAAAAATAAGGAAAATCAGGGAAAACAGAGCAAGAACAGGAATTACCCCACAACCCACAATTATCCTCCGTGGCGTAGCTCTGGACCGCTTTCTCATTTTCCTCTCTGCTCTCCACCTCCCCGCGTGATATTCCACTTTTTCTTCTGTTAAACTGGGCCCCAGGTACGTGGCGTTGTGGTACCGCTTGCCCCCGTTCTCCTGCACCACGCGGCAGACCATCCCCATCAGCTTGGCAATCTGCTGGTCCCGCTCGGCACCGACTGCTTTATCGTTGAGGCCGCAGTACCGGCTCCCACGCCGCAGGATCAGGTCCTGGAGTGCTCCGTTGCCGCAATACCGCCGGTAATGGTGCGACGACCTCCCCACCAAGTCTTCCATATGGGTGAGTGAGACGATTGCGTGCCTCAAAACATCAACTCCAAAAACATCCTGCAGTTTCTACATGGCTTCCTTGTCCTCCTTGATAAATTGGCCCAGCTCGGTTACCAGCAGCAGCGTGTAAGGGCCCGGGGAGGACAGCTTGACGCAATGAGTAATTTCTTTGTACGCCTCACTGATGGCAGCTCTTGGATCAAAAATATCGGTCGTGTCAATGACCGTGATGTCCTTGTGCTTGCGCAGAGCTCACGGTCACCAGCTTGGTCGTAAGCTTGGACTTGAA